AGACATTGAAATGCTAGTAAGCAGCAGAATTATGCAAATTATAGTGTTTGGGCAGGTTTTTTGATACACCGGCCCTGTATTAGAGAGTTTGAGCAAGTGAACGAAGTCGGACGACGACGACGTGGTTGACAATTTTTGCCTGTCTTAAACATTATCTCGCGCAGGGGTGAAGACAGATTAGAGATTCATGTCTAGGCAGTCTAGCTGTTTATGAATGCTGACCCAAATCCTTACCCTGATCAGGACAAAACAGCGAAGGCATGAATCCATATCCCATCTTCGTTCTTCTGCCTTCGTTCACAACGAATATTTTGGCAAAATTCGTTGTGAACTTCGTTCCAAACGATCGGAACGAAGGCAGAAGGACAAAGACGGGATATAGTTTCATGTCTCGCTGTTTTTTTCTGGGTCAAGGCAAGAATTAGGACACATGGGAAGAAACGTTGAGCAACCACCAGTGACGTCCATCTCAGTATGCGCAAGATAATGTGCAGACAGCAAAAATTGTCAAATACGCCTTCGTCTTCGTACTTCGTTGTCTGGCAAACTCTCTAATATGCAGGACAGCAAAGCGACGACGACGGCCAAAACAAACTCATTCAAATAAATTGTTGTAAAGAAAGCTTATCGACAGTTATCGTGTATTATCAATCGTATGAATTTAACACAGCTTGAAGATATTAAAACAGAGGCTTTCTATTGAGTATAAAGTTCCACATTACTCATTAGTACTGAACCAATTTGCTGGGTATCCACTTCTTACGTGACTAAAATGCAAACGTTGTACACAAGACGTGAAAACTCTGGTTTCACCGGTTGTAAACAGACCGTCATGAGACCGAGGACGACGCCCAAATCTCCCATGGGATTTTAATGATTTATTTCTTGCCTTAAATATTTATTAATTTCATTAAGGCGGATCTCCACTAAACGATTTTTGAGACGATCATCAAAACAGTTCGCGACGACACATGCGCAATTGAAAAAGAATGTTCGAAGAGCGATCGTCTAGCGCTCAACGAAAAGTAGGATTGACTTCTACTTTTCGTCGAGCGCCAGCGATCGCCAAATTTTAACTAATAAGATTCCGCGCTGCTAGTGCATTCTCCCTAAATCGTCGCGAATTTTTATGACGATCGTCATAAAAATCGTCTCAAAAATTGTCTAGTGGAGATCCGTCTTTAATAAATTAAAGTCTCTAATATTAATGGAAGCGTCACATATCGATTTTATCCACGAGAAACGTCATATGGACGTTGGGGGTTCGGGGCGTTGGAGACTGTGACGTTTCTCGTTGAAAAATCGTGGAAAATTTCAATAGGCTTTCTTCAAAAGTTTTGATATTTTGGAATCATCTACAAAGGAGGTACGCGGTTGATTCAAAGCACTGAAAAAATAGATGATTCCAGCTAAACTCTAAATTTTGATCTAGGCAAGAAGAGAAAAAATCCATCACCACAGCTAGCTAGAAAGAGCATGTTAAATTAATTAGTAAAATTGCAAAGTTTGGCCGCGAAATGTTGTAAAATGCGGAAAATATAGGCTATCCCTCGAAATTTGCAAATTTTGTATTAATTGCAACACACTATTTGGGCCGAAAGTGGTCACTTTTCTTGCCTAGATCAAAATTTAGCTTATAGCTGAAATAATCTATTTTTGAGCATAGATTTCTATTCTGTTGTCCAAATTCTTGAATACGGTTTCAGAAACTGCAAGAAATGCATGGCATCTCTGTGTCTTTGAAATAGCTCCGTTCCCGTAGTCGCCACTTGTCAGAGCAAGCGCCTTTCAAGTTTCACCTCTGCCTCTGGCTCTGACTTCGTGGGTTCGATTCTCGATGGCTACGGTGACTCATGTGAAAAGAGTCAATCAGCGTTCTGCCGAACGTCGTGGGTTTTCGCCGGGTGCTCCAGTTTCCTCCCACAGGGAAAGTTGACAGGGTTGGTTAGCATAAACACAGTTAAGAAAGTAATATCACAATTGTTGTAAAGATCTAAGTATGTAATTAGGTAAGCATATTAACTAGTCTTGATGCAAAGTGCATTTGATCATATCCACATGTAAATTTGCGCTGTAGAAATATTAATTATCGCCGAATCGTACTCTCGATTTTTCAAATCTTCGCCAGACCTTTATAATATCTGCTTTCCCAACTACCTAAGTCAGTTTGAATATCTTCCTACGCTACTGCTGTGAACGGTACTATGTTCGAACCACACTGACAGCGCTAGTTGGATCACGTTTCCACATAGTCATAGCTGAAAACTAAGTATATTGAAATGTTTTGAAAATCCTCCCTCTCAAAACCCCTGTTCTGCTGCCAGTAACTGTAAAAGATATGATGATATGATAATCAAATACTAACTTAAGATGGTCAGATTTAGTTTGTAGTTGCCGAATATGTATTGGATACAGTGATATATCCCATGATGCTATGTACTGGCCAAAATCAGCTAACTATCTTCCGAAATCCCGGCCTAGTCCCGATCAGCTCTCTTCGCTATTATAAAGTCGCCATTTCATATTAATCAAGCCATGATTTTGCACGATCGCCATGTTTAGGTTGGCCTCTTCCTCCTTTAGCATCCCTGAAGGGATTGAGACAAGACTCGAGTATGTCTAATGTCTTAAAGGATGGTTTATCAAAATGATTTAAATTGGTCTCCCAAAACGCAGAAGATTACAGATTTCATAGCCACAGATAACAGATTTACTGTACTATCGCAATTTTTGTTTTCCATAATTAGTTTTCGATGCTGTCAATGAATTTGGGTAATTAACGAACTTCGGCCCAGCCCCTGGCTTATACTCTTAAAGCTGCTTGTGGCAGTAGATCTCCTGCAAATTTCCCATTTCAGATCTTCTGAGTGTTTACATCTTTTATCCCTTCTTGTCGTTCATTCAAATACAAAATGCGCGAAGACAACGGGTCTGAAAAGAACATCACGTAAGGCCAAGTAAAAAATATTAGTAGTTTCTCGTCCCCGCCCGCATCCCTTTTCCCTGCCGCATGGATTTTTCTTTCTTTTTAATTTTTATATTCGAGCCTTTCAAAAAATTTCCATTTAGTGTATTTCGGCTATTTTGCTCCTTTCGGCATAGTTCGGTTGCCGTTTGGAAATTTTCGTCAACTCTCGCTTGCTGTTCCCGATTTTGGTGCCATATTGCATTAGTTGCTGAGTTGTCTATTTTAATATATTTTACGTTTTATGAGTAAACTTTAATACTTGCTTGTGTTTATAGGTTATTCGGTAAATTTTAAGAGCAATATTTGAAGGTTTAACAAAAAAAAAGCGCCCGCATTCTCCTTTTTTTTCAAAATTCGGACGACTAAACTACTATTTTTTTTTACTTGGCCTAATGTAATTTGCAATCAATTTCTAACGACAGAGCTCTATCTCATCTCGAAGTACCATTATATTAGGGACTTTGATCATTTAGCCGCTTAGTTTAGGGTCTCGATAATCTAAAAAGCAGAGCTGATCCAGTCTGAGCTGCCAGAAAAAGTCTAGAGAATTCATCAGTTAAAGGTCATGGTTAAGATGTTTTTATATATATGAAAAGGCTCCTTGATTTGTATATCCAAAATGAACAGTAAACAATACATGAACAAAACAAGCTTCAAAGCAATCTTGTTTTTTTGTTCATTATCACATGGTTTCTCTCGAAACTTCCATATTCACGAGGAATTTGGAAAGGTCACAAAAGATCACAGTTTTTGCATGATTGGACATGGATTAAAAGCGCGGGAATTCCAATGAAATATTTTCTTATCAGCTCTTGTAAATAAACTGTTATTGAAAGGGCTAAACAGATCCGAAGCATGGCGATATGGCAAAGAGGTAGACTTCATAATCAATTCCTTTTTTATGGAAAAACGTTTTTGGTTAAAGTTTTTTGGCAGGTCGTGACATATAAAATAACATTTGGCTGACATTCTTTAGTGCGCGGCACGTGTAGTATTTCTCAGCGGTAGTTTGCATGCATGACAAAATCTCAATTATTTTGAAAGAAAACACAAAACTTTCCAAATGAAACAAACGGTCTGGTGCAGTGAGAATACTAAATAAGGAATGGATTTAAATCTTGGGCGGACATGGAGAGAGGTGGCGAAATTGGTGACCGGATCAATACTTTGGCCTTTTTAGACCACACGACTCAGAAATGAGGGGTGGCAAAGTCGAAAATTAGGGGACAATTAACATTTTTGTCTTTCAATCCTTCCGCCATGTTTGTTCGGTAAACAAAACGCCTGCGCTACTCTACTATAAAATTAAAAAACCTGAAAATCACAAGTTTTGTGAGAATTAAATCTGTATGATTTTGCACTCCAACTGGTAAGCAGGAAATCTTAGGCTATAATAAAGACTTTATTCACGCTAATTTTTTTCAAATTATTTATAATCACGTTTTTTGGGCCACACCATTTCCATTTGTATGGAAACACCATTTGTACGGACGATTCTAAAGTCCTCGCAACAAAATGTTATGAATGATCAGTTTGATTTTTCAAACCATCGACCTTTAATTACTGCCTTGGAATTTTTAAGTCTGTTTGAAAATATCACGCCGACAATTCAAGTAAAAACGTGCGAAATTCCTTCGTTAATTGCACACAAGTAAGTGATAACACATCATTTACGAAAAACAAATTGTTGATCTCAATGGAATGTGCCAAAGTCATCAAAGTCCGTCATGAATATAATATTAGTCACATCATTTGCAAGCTAAACTAGTAAACAGTTATTCCACAAAGGCTTCAGTATAGATTTGTGTATATTTGAAAATACAATGCTTTAGAGATTACGACCAATTTATATAAACACTGGTTACAACTTGGATAGGAGGAGTTGGAATGTTGCGATTGCATTCCAGTTGCCTTAAATGGCTTAATCTAATTGTTATATGTCACTCATTCTGTGGCGAGCTGTGCCAAATATGGCTTGCATAAATTACGTTAATATATTCAATGCTAAGTTAGCGTACGCGATATCAGTAAAGAAATATGGCGAAGTATGGCCACTTGTGAGAGTTTTGTTTATCATTGGAAATTATAATGCGGAGAAACAGTAGACACGGCGAGGTTCCCTTGCCTGACGGATGGGAGAAAGGTGTAGACTCAGCCGGTAGGACGTATTTTATCGACCATGTAAACAAGAAAACTACATGGATAGATCCTCGCGACAGGTACTAAAATATTCTGCCATATGTGAAATGGAATGCGTAGAAATATCGCAATGATATTCCGCGTTTTCTATGCTTTCCTCTCACGGCAATACATTTCATTGCTTTAATGTTAACATGACATAACGTATCATCAGTCTGTGTTGGTATAGTTGGTTAAAAGTTTGAAAATAGTTTTGTTTATGTGGTTGATTTTATTAAACACTCATCTGCTGTTCGATGTATTATCTCTTGGAAAATATGTTTAATTACGAAAAGTTCGTATATAGACATGTACTTGGAATAAAAGAACACATAAACTCAGTTACTGTACTTATAAACAACATTTTGAAGTTTAAGTTTAGTTCATATTTTGTGTTGAATTGAACTTGTGAGTGAATTCTACAGGAAGTGTCGTTCATTGTTATTTAAAAATATTATTCAGCAGGAATCTTAGGAATTATATTATTTGAGAGCTTTAACGTAGGATGTTTGTTCCTGCTATATACCTACATGGTCTGTAAATTCATATCGTGCTTAGGAAATGAACCATTTGATGGTTTGCCAGTTGCTAAGGAATATAATTTCGAAAATAATGGCCTGTATGCAACTTTATATGCGATTATAAAGATAAACGTTCAATCTTCATTGAGTAGAAATCATACTCATTCAGACAAGAATAACATTCAAGTAAAAGATATACAGTATAACATAATCTAGAATTTACTTGAAGCAAGATCAGACATTATTGTCAGTGTATATGACAACATAATACATATATACATGTTTTGAGGAATGCAGTCTGAACATATTGAATGAAATAGAAGATAGGTCTTTATATAAACCGGAATATTTTGCTGGTATCAGGTCAAGGTTGAGTAGCCACATCACAATTATGATGTAAACTTAACCAAACTCTGTTTTCCCCTTTCCTTTTATTAAGCACACTATTCTACATTTCTGAAAGCGTGTTATTCTAATGTCAGGAAATATTTCCCTGTCTATATTATCATTGTACATGCAAGTACAGTATTTCAGAAAAATTCATAACAACACTTTTGATTTTATTTATACGACAGTGTTTTGGTTTTGTTTTGTTTGAAATTGAATCTAAAATACTGCATAGTGGGTATAAAGTTATCCCTCTGCATTACTGGAATGCAATACATAATTGTGCTGACACATGTGTTTTAAATATTGCTGGAACTTACTGTAGTAAAATATTCCTAAGCTCAGCAAATTCCAGTATTCCACCACACAACCCACATGACAGGACAACACCACACATTGTGTGGGTTGTATGGTGTTGCCGTCTGTGTAAAAACTGCAAACAGTAAGATACCGCGATACCATCAACACATTTTGTGCATTGATATTTGCACTGTTAAAGTATGCATGGTACAAATGCTGCTACCACACTGATTGTTTTCCATGATCCTGAAATCAAGTTTCATTATTAAATTAGTATATAAATTTGACAGATGTCATGATCTTTAGTTTAATGCACATGTTGAAATATTTTGTATTTCTATGTATACTGCATGTCAATGTAGTTACCAACTTGTACAGCAAGTGAGAAGCTCAAATAGTTAAGAAATTGATAAGGGATGATAAAAAGTCAGTAGAGAAAAGAGAAACTAATTATGTACAAAATCACCCAATCAAATATTCAGGTTCAAAATTCCTCTTCCTTATTATAGCTTTCCATTCTCTGATGCCACAAAAATCAATGACAAAAACACTGAGACTTGCTCAAATTAGATTAAACTTTGTTGAATTTTCAAATTAACATTGCTGATTTAAAGTCTGTATTTTCATCGTTACTGGTTATTTCATATTTTCACAAAATACTTGTACAGACAAATCATTTGTATTCAATTAGATACATTCAGTTTGCTTATCCTACTTTCATAGGTTGACAAAGCCCCAGACATTTGCAGACTGTGTTGCTGATGGTAAGTATAATTTAAAATGCTTTTCAATCAAAATTGTTGAAATCAAATAGTTTTGGGTCCAAATTATGCAACCAGCTGCTTGATCTCAGCAGGTTGTTTCGTACACATGGCTCCTATTTGGGCTAAAATTAACCACAAAGTGCTAAAAATATTTACGCATATAAACACCCCCAATTCTCTTGCAGACAAATATTTTGTTTTATTACACATATTATGATATGATATTTGTTATTTTTGAAGGAATTTGTGATATATAAACATGTATTTATTTTGCTGTAGATCATGATGGCATTGTACAGTATGCCTGATGTCTGTACATACATCTTGTTATTCTGTGCAGTGTCTGCATAATAAACATAACTGCTTCCCTCTTAAACTGCCTCTAGAATATTTTTACTCCCCCTTATGACTGCAATTAATTTAATACTTTATCCAAGAGATTCTTAAGCTGCATAGAACACACTAGAACTAAATATTATTCAAGTCCTTGAGAAAAGTTTGAAATAAATGTTGAACACTTGAATTGCACTCAATTAGGTTAATTGCACATAAGCAGGAAAGTGTAAAGTACAAACTACTGATAATTGAAGTATTTCCTTATTAGATCAAATATTCTATGGTTTCTATGATACTTTGTGTACTATTGATTGAATAAAATATATTGGAAAGATGATATGCTGATGTTTTGAAACATGACATACAACATGCACTTAGCCTTCCTGCTTATTTGTACATTTGTTAGCAACATTGTTTGAGCCAATATTTTCAAGAAGTATGTACAATTGACTTGCATTTTGCATAATTTAATTAACAACATTACCCATCTTATATTAATACAGGTAATATTAATTAATTTACTAATGTATGATACTGTATATGTAACTTAAACTAATTTTTACTAATGTATGATACTGTATATGTAACTTAAACTCAGCCTGACTTGCTTGTATCAAAACGGTAATTGTTTTCATGACTATGTTCACAAATGTGAAATAATGCATGTGAAGGTTTCATGTATTATTATCACAAAGAGCAATGATAAGAGATTAATAACTATAGATTACTTTTATAGCATTAGCTCATTTACATGGTGCATAAAGGTTATTAAATTTCAAGGTTGATTACCTGCATATAGAATTAGAATAACCGCACCATGTGGTCCAAAATTATGCTTGCCATCATTCAGTAAATATCCAGTTTTAAATAAATAAAGTGAGAAATGAATTCAATTTTTACAGAATTGCCCTATGGCTGGGAAGAAATTAAGGATCCACATCATGGAGGAAGCATATACATTGATCATAACACTGGTAAGGATTGTGATATTAGTTTTAAGACATTGCCATATATGATGAATGCAGATATCCAAAGTAAAAAGTACAATATTGCATTGACAATATAAAGTTATCTCAAGCAGGAATTGAAACTGTATATTCAAATTGAATTCCTCACAAGAACCTAAAGGTATGTTTACAAGCTGCAATTTGTTGTTTATGATTTGCATTCTGGCATATACTATCAAATAGGCATGCATGGAGTGGTTTGCCATTTCATGTTTCACCATGAACTAAATGAAGAGGAATTGTGTCCTCAGCAGTAATTTCCATATGCCAGAATACAAATTATACAAGACAAATCACAGCATGTAAAACTACCATAACTGGATTGATAGCTCAATTGGTTTGGTCATAGTTAATAGAGGACAGGTTTGGTACCAGTCTTAACCTGGTTGACTATGTTAACAATTTGCAAACTGCACAAGGAAAGTGCACAGCAACAAGTGAGGTCTGAGTGAATTTAGAGAAGTAAAACACAACACAGTACTACTGTGTATATGTTCTGCAGTATTTACATCACTAAAGCCCAGGTCACACTACACAGCAATAATGATACAATAACTTATAAACATGTGCTGATTGGTCAAAAAATTTATCATTATCGTCCGACTGGACAAAATGACTTGGGTGAGTAATTTTAAAATGGTTATTGTTATTGTATCATTGTAGTGTGACCAGACCTTTAATCACTATTTCACATCACTTTTGCTGCACAGTTTGCCATCCAGGAATGGCTGACAAGGCCTGGTTGCTTGATGTGAGAAAGCTAATTTTATAGCTTATAACAATGTGACATTTCATTGCAAGGCCACTCCAACTTGGTTTCTCATCCAGGCTTTCTTTATGAATGTAGGTGGGCAGGAGGTCTGTTATCATTATTGATTATTGAGAATACAAAAAGTAATACTATAATTTTGCTATCATGATATCATTTGAACTCAGGGTTTGCCATTAATGTAGAAAATCTTGCAGTATCCACTACAATACAAATTTACATAAATAGTCGTTCATTAGAGATCCTGTGGACAAAATCTTATAAACAACCCACACTGGCATTTCCATATACCTGAGATCAGGATTTAATATCAATGATGGATGGAACAAGTCATAATTTAAATATTTTCCTGTAATCCCAAAAGGCCAATATTTTACCAAAAATTCAAATAATGTAAATAAGATATGAATCATGAGATTGAGGAAATCACGCACCCTCTTCTTGGTAATCTTGGAGACGAAGGCTGTGGACGGCAACTACATATAAAGTCTATTATGTGGAATGGTCAACTAATAAAATGATTCAATTATAGTTTATGTAAATGACATGTATGGTAGATAAGTATAATTACCTTTTAATTATTTTGTAATTCTATAACTTTTGTTCTGAGACCGGATTTTTACTTTAAGTAAAATCGAAATGTTCATGTAATATCTTTAAGAATGTTAATTCTTTATCCTCAATAGCCTCAGTGGCTAAGGAGATTAACATACCAATTGTCTAATCTGTCAATAACAAGCAGAGATTACACCTAAGTCACTAAATACCTCGTTCCCAGGCTTGTTGTTGTTGTGGAATTGGCATGTTGCTTTGTTTGCTGCTGTTATGCATGTCATAATAAATTTTAATAAATTATAATAAATGAATAAGCATAAACTAAGGTACGGTATGTATGTTAATCACTTGTTTTTGAGTGATCTCATGCCAATATGCCTACACGTTTCGTGACCTCAAGCCTGAGATCTCCAACATGCAGTACATGGAATGCAGTCTGGCTAGAGCTGCTCCTGATTGATGAACTAATCAATTTTTTTTGTGATTTTTGACAATCGATTATTCTTAACGATAATCGAATCAACAGAACAGCCGTGCATAGCATGATACTTGGATAACTTTCTTTTCCAATTGAGAAAAATCACCTACCAAATCTACTACTACTAGCGCTCCCATTGGCTGTCATATAAAAACTTTAACACATGCCCTCCTTCCTGGAAGCGACATTAACCACTGTGAATGTGTCTATATTTATTCAATACGATTAATCGATTGTTCATGACAATCGGTTACGCTAATGGAAGCAGTTCTGGCTCAATGCGGGTCTGGTAGTTACAATGTTATTGAAAATTGTTTCCAGAAAATATGCAGATGGAAGATCCAAGAAAACAGTGGCAGATAGAGCAGGAGAAAATGTTGAAAGATTACCTGATGGTTTCACAACATAATCTTCAAGTATGTACTTTTACTTCAAATATTATTCCTCATGTCGTTGTCTAGTTTCTGTGACGTGTATCAGATTATCCGTGCCTGATAATACTTGTCTGATAACTGCAGTGTTTTTTATATTCCTTAAACTCAACTGTACATTTTACTGTATTGGTATAATATACTGTACTCCATTGGTTTATATTCTGCTCTACTGGAGTCGCTTGTACAAATATCCACCGAATAGGCGAATAGGGATTGATAAAAAAGGTTGCAAAAATCCCTGTCAGGTGGATAGCACTTTCCAGCCTTCGTATAACCGGTCCCTATAGTTTATTTTTATGCTATTGTAATTGTCTTTGTATTGTACTGCATTTTGTGTTTTGTACACTCTTTGTGTTATGCATGCTGTAGCTTTTGTGTTTTGCTATTTGGTAATTTTTTCTGTTCGACTTTTCGTTTTCAACAAAGCCTATAGAGAAGGAAGGGTTTGTTATGAAACATTCTAATCAGTAATTTAGTAATCATGTTGCTTTTATACCTATAGGCTAAACAAGATGTGTTAAATATGAAACAAAAACGACTTCATTTGGCTGAAGAAGAGGTAGACTAATTATTCCAGACATTTACTCTCAGTGGCGGACACTTCGCGAAATAGGGGGGGGGGGGGCGAATTAGGTTGCCAACATATGACCACCTTTCAGTAGGTGGAATTCTTAATTTTCAAAACTTTTTTGCCTTAAGATTCATGCAATAGTTAGCTTAATTTTTAGCCTAATAATGCGTTCATGGTTGAAAAATTATTGTTACAGCTTGGTTACACAGTTATTCAGCTATCACTCAAAGGCTTTCAGAAATCATTGGAGGGGTTCGGTAGGTTCCCCCCAGAAAGTATTGGAGGGGGCGGGAGGTTGTCGCGACCCCCTCACGAGTCCTCCCTAGTGTCCGCCACTGTTTACTCTCTCTATAGAGAGTAATATTGAAATTCACTCTTGTCACTGTTTTCTTTTAGTATACGTATTTGATGACCAAACTGGCAGGCAAGAATGGCCAACATGTTCGTGGCAATTCACCAGCTGTACCTGTAAAACCAATCACAACTGAGCGCACAGTTGTTACAAATATGTGTGCTGCTGAAGACAGAAGTGATTGTGGTCAGGATGAACTGAGTGAACAGATTGCAAACTCACGATTTAGAGTAAGTGACTCTAAGGCTACATACATCCACACTAATCCGTATCGTTTTCGTATCGTTCTCCGTTCACAAGGGAGCAAAGAGTAATGGTTTAATTACCTCATAGGACAACGCTACGAGAACGGCCGGACTAGTGTGGACGTAGCCTAAAAACTGCTCCATACTCATGTAATAGTCGCGAGTATAAAGTATGATAGGCAGGCAGAAAATTCTACTTGACCACGACTGGGGATTGAACCCGCGACCTTTAGAAATTCCGAAATGTCATTAAACAGCATCGTCCCTAACTCAGAGTGAGACGGTAGAGCAATAAGAGCATTGCTCTAGAAAATGCGATGGTAGCCGGTTTGATTCCCTGCCGTGGTCAAGGGTACATATTATGACCATGATACAGTATATAGGCTACTTTTACAGGAAACTACATGTATATCAATTCGATTGCAGGTTTGTGGCAGTGTAGGTAGTTCAATAATAACAAACGTCGGTTGATAGGAATGCAACTACCTGGAAAATACAAGGAGAAATACAACGTTTCGAGCGACGGCTCTTCGTTGGGAAGTAAGTTACTTCCCGCGACGAAGGGGCTTAGCTAGTCGAAACGTCGAAGTTCTCTTTGTATTTTTCAGGTAGTTGCATCCCTATCAATGATGTATACTATCAACATATGGTGCTGTAGTTTGTTCGATATCCGCAATTTCATTATTTTGATAGTTCACTTTCATGCTCTTAAGGTTGCGAGGCTGAAAGAGGATATAGCCAACGTTCACGAGGAGATTATATATCAACAATCTGGTGTTAAGAGGTTGGAAAAGTTTGATGAAATACTAAGAACGGAAAATAGTAATCTTGAAGCACAAATTGGTCGCGTGAATGAGTTGAAAAATATTGAACAAAGTGTAGACAGTGAAGAAAAACAACGTCAGAAACTTATCCAAGATCTCATTGTACTGAAAAAGAAATTTTTATTTCAGTCTGGCAGCGAGGAGTCTGGGTCAGAAAAGGTTTGTTTATAGTATTTATTTTGCATGCATAAAGTTTACAATGTCAAGGCCATGTTTCACGTTTCAACCGATTCCTGTAGCAATTCAATCTCAGACACAGATCGAGTGTGTGAGTTTAAGACACAGCATGACCATGAAAAGAACAAAAGAGAAGGAAAAGTATACGAGTGAAAAGGAGGCCATGCTAGTTCCGCAAGTTCTTCTCTGTATAGCATGTACAGTGTCCCTGATCCGAGCAGCGTTACGTGTTTCTCTGGGTGTCCTGGTTAAACGCATGCTAGACTCGCTATACAGTATACAGCTATTTCAATTGTCCACGAGCAAAGCGGAAAAGTCGAATACGAGCGCGCGAAAGGCTGCTGGGAATCGCTATCAAATTAATGAATTTTCAAAGCAGTTCCCAGCAGCCTTTCGCGCTCGTATTCGACTTTTCCGCTTTGCTCGTGGACAACCTTAATTGAAATAGCTGTATACTACGAGGCCATATATCACATATACCCTCAAATAACCCCAAATAAAAAATAAAATAACAGGTCTAATTTTACTAGAAAAACGAGCTTAACCCAAATATTGTTATTTTTCTGATCTTCTAATTACAAATCTGCATTGCGGCAATTGCGCATTATACAATTAATGATGTCTTGTTTTGACTTTGGAACAAGTTTATGTAACGGTCAAAACGTTTTCTGAAAAAAATTTTTTTGTGAAAGTATAAGCTACATTTCTACAACTCTGTATTTTTAACTTTACTTTTTGTCCATGCTTTTCAAAATCCTATTTCAAAATGTGTGAGAGGTCTAGAATTCCTCAGTTCTCATGCGGATTGTGCGATTATGGTTTTTGTTTCACTATGTCATTACGTAAAAATTCTGTTTGTATTCACGTTGCCAATTCAAGAGTTCGGTGACACCATGAATATAAAAAATTTAAAGATTGGAGAATTTTGGGATTTTTCAAAGCTACCATGCCGTGAGAAAAGAGGTTCACTCAGGGGGCTAGCTTGGTCTGTCACCTTTAAACCTGATCCCAAAATATTTCACATTTGGAGAAAGATTTTACTGTATATTTAGAGTTTGGCATGACTCATGAGGCAAATTGTGTATATGATCGTTAAATGTTAAAGACGTATTAAGTCGTTAAAGAAAATAATTATTGAATGTGACTATGATAATTAGTTGGGTTTTAATGGAAAAGAATTCAGGCAATTTTTATGACACTGTAATCGTATACTTTGATTTAAATTAATATTTCCTGACTGGAATTTTCAGTTTCGAAAGTCCGTCGAAAATAGCGTACAAGAATGCGGACAAAACGTGGCGCATATTCCGATAACTCAATTCGGAAGAATGGTGACGAAATTCGAGTCCAGTCGACGCGTTTTTTTTTCCTGCGGCTGTGGGTGAAGTTATTTATGGAATGCGAGTAAATATACTTGAAATTGAGACACGTTCAAGGGGGGTACGATTTCACTAAAAGACTGTTTGTCTTTTAATAGCAGCAATAATAGTATTCAAAACATTTTTCAGAATTTTTTGTAAGCCTATATGTTTCCTGTTATAGAGATTAAGAGTTATTTCTTGGTTGTTCACTGTAGGGAAGTTTGTCTAAATTGAGTAGTGAGTGTGGTGGATCGGATATATCATTATCTCGCTCATATTCTGACCTCAGTCGACGTCAGGTGGAGGTAGAATACGAACAAACCTTGGCAAAAATCACTCAACTGCAAAATGAACTTGATAATATCGAACAAAAGTTAATGAGTGTGAATACGCAAGATTACGTTCTTCTCATAAACGAAAGAGAAGAGCTTCTGCAACAGTTAAAAAGATCATCGAGTATTGAACTGGACTTACAGAGAAAGGTATGTAATACTATGTATATAATCGTGAATGGTCTGGGCCAGTGTATATAGATATAGTGCCAAGAATAAGAGAGCTTCGCATTGATAGGGATACAGCTACCTGACAAATGCAGAGAGAACTTCAAAATTTCACACTCGAAGTTCTTCTTGTATTTTCAGGTAGTTCTATAGTTCTTTTCTACCAATCCGAAGCTTTCTTAATAATATATGTATACATGATATCGCGCTGTGATGCATGCCGCTGTATTGGAACATTGGTATGTATTTGTCATTCCGTAGAGTTAGAAAGGGTGTTTAGTTCCAATGTAGGATGAGAAATATTCACGAGCTTGCTTGAAGGATCTAATTCAGGATATACTATATTTATATATAAACTACTTCGATGTTTCCAGAGAAGGCTCTTCGTCTTCGAAGTTAGGGCGCTTTCCATTAACTCGGCCAGACCGGTCAAATTGTTGTTGAATGGAACACCAAACGTTTGGGCTTCGGACCGATCGGACTGGAAAATTTTGATGAAATTAGAAGGAGGACCATTAATACATATCCTAGATATTTGAGAAACTTTAGGCCAGATCTGGCCATTAAATGGAAAGCGCCCTTAGAGAGACAAGTCGAAGGCACAAGCGAAGAGCCTTCGGGTTCGTGTGGATGTTAGACGAAGAGCTCGATCCTCTACCAACCTTGTGAGAAAATATAGAAAGCGTGCCGTTGACCATTTCTACGGTAGTTCTGGCATTTGTAATTTAATGATATGAACGATATGATAGGATTAAACGATATGACTCAGCAAGAGATGCAGTAAATCATCCTTGGTACTTACTAATATTGAAATGCTGGCAGATTAATTAAAATTTCGTGGTGAGAAAAAGGATGCAATCAGTGTTTTATTTCAGCATGATTCCTGTATCATTGCCAGTGACATTCTATATCCGATAAACTTGTAAAGAATTAATGATCATTTGCCGAAAACTATAAAATGCTTGAATAACTCAATAACTGCGTAATAGCCAGGCATACCAAAGAAATTAAAACTGTACATATGTTCATTAACCTTGTTCTCTAATTGTATAAGCCTAAATGAATATACATTGCCTTTTCCTTGTATATAATATCCAGGTAAGCAATATATGGATATTTTTACATATGTTTTTTTTAAATATTACTTGTGATGTATAACCTTTTTCAGTTAAAACAACTTCTTCCTTCTTAACAAAACCTTTTTGAAGTTTTGGAATATTTTATGCGTTCAAACGTTCTCAACAATGTTGGTCCATTATCATGCAACAATGTTGAAATATTTGTGTAACTGCTTATTTTTTGTATCTTTAAATCTAATAATATTGATAAAATCATAGGATCAGTTATCTAAATTGAATACATATGTTTTAAAATATTTGTGAAAAAACCCAGTTAATTAATAATTGAAAATTGTTGGCTACTGTTGGGCAAACATTGTTGTGTCCGTTTGAGCGGAAGCCTTTAAAAATCGGAAACCTAACTGAAAAATTAAGCGTAAAATGAAACTGATACAGTGTATGCTGGATTCAGTGTATACTGTATCGGCAAATCGAAAATGTGGAATGTAAAATATTATAATAAATGATAATTTATAGATACAATTCGTGTTAATTAGGAAATGTTTTTCATATTTTGTCTAAAGAATAAACATTTCATGGTGTGTTGACAAGTTGTTGTTTCAGCTCAAGTCGTTTATAGTTGTTTATCATTTCACAAATGAGTGTTTGGTTTTTCTGGTGCATTTCACGAGTCAAATTGCGTCAAAAGCGACATAAACATAGCTTATGGAATTTCCGCTATGCGCGAGAACTTGGCATTGCTTTCTTTTGATTGCTAGGCAACGCAGTTCTTAATCACCATGAATGTTATGAATTTATAAAGCTGTTATTACCTCCTGGCAATATCTGTCCACATCAGGACAAAAGTCTCTTACCGTTTACAACATGCGCAGTAACTATTAAAACAAGTTGAGATGTTTATTTATGTAAATGTAATTATATTGTAGTATCCCTAATATTGTAATGTGGCATAGACACAACTGATTGCAGTTCTTTCTATAGTAATATTCACAATGTGGCCACAATATACTGGTTTATCTTCCAATACATCTGTCATTGCAAATTAATGAATTGATACGTGACTTGTACAGTCCAAAAGCTACGTCAAAATTATTGTACCATGAAAACCTCAAGTCTTCAGTGAGAACTCAGTAAAAGACTATTATAGTTCAAGAACTTGTAGTATACAGTATATAGACAATAAACGAAAACCTGTTTTAGACTGATATAATAAGATTCACTATTGACTCATTATTGTACGCTATAGCAAATTTGGCGGAAACTACGAGTTGCCCATTTCCGTAGGCGTAGTAGATTTTGTTTTCAAGTATTCACTATTCACGTCAGTATTCACCAAATTCCAACGTCATAATAAGTTTTGCTCTTTTTGATATAGATGTATTTGGACGTAGAAATGGCAAAGATATCTGAAGAATTAGAACTGGCCAAGATGGATTATGAAACAGTTGTCAGGGAGAGATATCTGTTAGAAGATCATAAGAATTCATTGGTTAAACGTCTGGCAGAAGACATGAAAAGAAGTAAATTATTGACTGCTCATTTACGAAAGTAAGTAGTTGAACTTGTATATCTTCATGGTGACCAAAATCAACCAATACTAAATAAATGTCAGTGCCATGCCAAAACACAATGAAGAGTGCTAAATACCATGGAGGGGTGTTGGTAATAGAGAAGATACATCTACGATTTCTTGGAATTTTTTTCCAAATGAATGGACCCTATAGTATAGAAATCCATTTTCGTTCTGATCTGATACCGTGTTAATATGGATACCGGATTTTCGCTCTCGTGATTAGAGTATTATTTTCATTGTATGGAATCTCATTGCATGAAATATGCACGGGATGCATTTTGTATGAAACGGTCCACAAAATTTGGCCATGATTGTGTTTCACTGAACTCTTAGAAAAGCTTTTTCTCTCCGTATTTAGTCTCTTCTTAACAACTATCTCCTTCATATTTAGCATGTCTGGCAGTGTTCATTCAGTGTCCTCATGTAACAGTTCAAGTCGAGGCTCGTTAAATTCCAGTCGTGGAGCTCAAAGTCGCGAGTCTTTATCATCAAGTCGAGGCTCTATGTCATCTGTCAGTCAGAATGACAGCAGAACTGGACAACATGGACCTAACTTTCGAGAGTTACATCAACGTGTTAGTGATATACTCCAGGAAATATCGTCTACATCAACTCAATCATCACAAACCACAACTCCACAAGCAGCAAGTTCTCAAAGATCGTCCTCTTCTAAAGACTCTCTATCAATGTCATCCGTATCACCCCCGAACTCACCAGGATCATATAACCCCTCCCCCAGGAATTCAGACTTAGCTCTAAATACTTCCAGAGTGCATAGCGAGTTAACTCCGTCTTACACTGACAATATCATGAATGAACGAACCCCAGCAAATCCTGATGCACTAACTTTACAATTAAATCGTTTTCGTTTTGGGAATGATGTCACTACTGCATTGTCACCAATAACTGAAGGTATTCCATCGAAAAGTCACACTGCCAATAAAGGAGTGTCCGCTGCAGTTTCAGATGAAAGTGTTGCTGCAGATAGTGGCGTGTTTGTATCTTCCATGGAAAACTTACGACGTCAGAACAGTATGAGATCAAGTGGACAATGTAGTGATGATGATGGAATAGAGGCACCACAAATAAAGATTGGTTTAGGTTATGTAGAAGAGAAAGAACAATTATTAGTTTGTATTGATGAAGCATGTAGTTTACGTTTACTTGGTTGTTATGATGGATGTGGTGTACGAGCTAGAGTATGTGTATTACCCTCTGCTGGTGATGATTCTGTATATACAACTACTGTGTGTAAAGATCTACGTCGACCCATATTCAGCGAACAGTTTTTTGTTTCTCTACCAAAGGTAACTTTATTTTAGTACATGTTTAATCCGAATAAACCACCCGCTAAAAATATCCCTGGAGCATAGCAGCAAATAATATTTTTGTTTTTGGGATCCTAAATTTTGGGGTCAAAGCTTTCTGCCATATTATGTAATATTCTTGCTAATAAATTATTTTCTGTGCCTGTTGGCATTATGCAATGCCCTAAAATGTTCTTCCAGCTAAGCCAGATCTGAAAATTTCTGGGATCCTAGATGCCAGGATCCACCATTATTTCCTGCTATGCCATGCAAGAAAGAAGTATAAATGCGGGGTTGCATATTTTCTAAAAGTAAAATGTAATCTTGTTGTGTTCAGGTGACGCTGTCATGCAGGTCATTACGAGTTGACGTTTGGTTAATTGACGAGAAGAGAAATGAGTCGATCTTGGTGAGTTGTAAAATTACCGCATACCATTTAACGTGTAATGTTCGCACAAATCTAATTCTTGTATTGTATTAATTTTCAGGGAGGTTGTCAGATAGGTTTAGAAGATTTCAATATCTATTCACCTGTAACCTTCAGATGGTTTAATCTCCTTAGTTCAACTGTAAGTAATTGCAAACGTTTTGTTTTTGTGTTTTTGATTGGGGAATTTCAAACCATGTCAAACGGCACCAATATTAAACAATTATAAAACGTATCAATGTTTTGTTTCTTGTCTTCAGTATTTCTTAACCGCAATGGCGAAACAACACGGCTATATTCCTCCAAGTACGGCGTACGAAAACTTAAGATCCAGACCGAAATCATGGGTATGTCACATTGTGTGTGTCTTTATGGTCTTGCACGGCTTGGGATTTCATGACACTTTTCTAAATGTTTGACTTGTGGTGTAATCTTTTTCAAGGGCGGAGATGTTTTGAATGCAGCGATTTCAAGTGGTAAAATGTTTTGTGAAGGTTCATTAAGTCAGGAGGATGGTCTTAACAAATCATGTGCTGCTACAACGTTCAGTCACGTTAAACAACAGTCACGCATGCGTAGTAACGATTCTCTGAGCAGTGTACAAAGTCAAGAAAGCGGAGTAGAGAAAGACAGTAGATCACAGAGTTCTAGCTCTTTGTTGGAGAAAATGTCTCAAGCAATAGCAAAAAGGAAGAATTCAGATCCGAAAGCTGAAGTTGATGGCATTAAGGTGAGTGGTTCTTTTCAAGCATTTTATTGATATACATATGTCAAGTTCTGTTGTAACGTTTTGTAAATTTTTTTACAAACATGGGAATTTCGGTTTGCGGAGATTTTTCGAACCTGCGTTGGAATGGCTCGAAACTATTACAAAAGTGTAGAAAAGCCGATTAAAGTTAAAGCCGAGATTACGCTTCAAAAACGTAAAAATTCACTGTGTTGCTTGCGCGGGTGGATAAATAATTTTCTCCGAAAGATTGCCCTATTGCACAAGGTTGCATGTACTGTACTAGCAGGGAACCCAGCCCCTTTTGTTTTCATTGTTTCGTGTTACTGTTGTCTGTCATAATAATCACAGAAATGAATAAAATGTTTTGGATCCAACTGATCAGATGTTTTTGTTTACCTAGTGTGAAGAAGGTCCAATCCCATGGAATCCAACCATGACAGAATTTCAAAGACGTCAAATCACTGTCAGTCGCAGTAACTCTGATTGCACAGCAAAACGAATGGCAGGAAACTCAACGAACCATTTCATTCGGCAATATGTTGATAGGACCAGCTTCAGACGAAAGTCGGTAAGTGTTTATACAAGTCCGTTTAAAAACCCAGAAAACAGAAATTAATAAAAAGATTAAAAAAAGTAAAAGGTCTTGGCAAAAGGTCGTATTTTTTTAATAGATAATATGTTTACAGTGTAAAACTGTATCATGATTAATAATCTTGGTAGTCTTACAACAGCTTCAAATCTTCCCCGTTCGTCTTTTAATACTTTTCTCTCTTAAATATTTAAATATTTAAAATATTTCTCTACCACAGCGACCTGTATCATGGCAACCACCGCCATCTTGGATACAAGGTAGCTCAGTCCCAAGTCAACAGTTACCTCCTCAAGGCAACGATTATCTTGGTGGCAGTAGGACATCTTTGGATGTTGAACTTGAACTAGAGGCATCGAAAGCTAAACAGGTAAGGTTGGTTAAAGCCTGGATATTTATATAGCGAGTAAATCCAAACAACGGAAGAACATAGTTCAGAGAACAATGAGCGACAGTGGAGAGAGTGGGAGCAACACTGTGTGCCTCTCAAAGACACCACAAAAGCTGCTGAAAATATTCTAGAGCAATTTTGAAAGCGGCTTTGGGACAAGCTACCATTATAATTTGTTGTTGTTACCATTATAACTTGTTGTTGTTGTTGTTGTTGTTGTTGTTGTTGTTGTTACCATTATAACTTGTTAATTGTCACCATTATAACTTGTTGTTGTTACCATTAGTAACTTGTTGTTTTTACCATTATAACTTGATGTTGTCACCATTAATAACTTGTTGTCACCATTATAACTTGTTGTTGTTACCATTATATAACTTGTTGTTGTTACCATTAATAACTTGATGTTGTTACCATTATAATTTGTTGTTGTTACCATTATAACTTCTTGTTGTTACCATTAATAACTTGTTGTTGTTACTATTATAATTTGTTGTTGTTACCATTAATAACTTGTTATTCTTGTAAATGCTTCTAATTAGTTACAGCTATTCCAACATTTCTACTTTCGAGTAATTTCAACCGTTACTCGCGAAAAAAACGTATAGAAGACTCATTCGGTAATTAATATGACATGTTTTTCTGATGAGTTATTTTATTTGTAGATCCAATTAGGCAAGGAAAATGCTCGTTTACAAGAGATGAAAAGAATAATGGAAGAAGCACAATCAAAAGGTTCAACAGAATTACCCGCTTTGCTTGAAAACAGAGATTTTAAACGATTTTTAAAAGAAGCTGAAAAGGTACATGATTGTATTATACATGATGGTCACACCTAATCTTTCAGGAAGGACATGGATTCATATAATCATGCTTAGAATAGTATAACAGCGATATATATATATATATATATATATATATATATATATATATATATATATATATATATATATATATATATATATATATATATATATATATATATATATATATATATATATATAAAAGGT